CATTGCCCAGTTTCCAGCACATACGAGGCAATTGGAAATACCATGGCTTGGAACAGGCACACCTGAGTCTTCCAAATGACTCCTTTGCTTTTTAAGACTTTAAAGAGGCCTTTAGTGGCAGATTTGCCCTGTGCAGTTCCTCATTTGATTTCCTGCCTGCTGCTTTAATGGGCACTGATTACTGATCCAAGTAAAATGAAATTCTTGATTACTTCAGTGTTTTCTTTGTGAATCAAGATGTTTATTGGTCCAGTTGTGAGGATCTTTGTTTTATGTTAAAGTGTAAGCCGTACTGAAGGCTGTAGTCTTTGATCTTCATCAGTAAATGCTTCAAGTTCTGTTCCCTCTTAGCTAGCAAGGTTGTATCATCTGCATATTGCAGGTTGTTAATGAGTCTTTGTCCCGTCCTCATGCCACATTATTCTTCATAAAGTCCTAATCTTGGATTAGTTGTTCAGCACACATATTGGATAGGTATGGTGAAAAGATCCAACCCTGATGCAGACCTTTCCTGTTTTTAAACCATGTTGTGTTCCCTTGTTCTTCAGGACTACATGTGAGACCTGATGAGAAATTGGTCTATGAGGGGATGATTGTAGTGGATAAGGTACAAGAAAAATTATGGGGGGGGAGGGAAGGACTCTTGTTGATTTTATATTCTAGTGGTAAGAAGTGGCACCGCCAACCCAGTGGAACACGGTTCTAATTCATTAGCTGTTTTGTAGGAGAAAGATGGGCATTCTCCTCCCATGCATGTACTGCCTCTAAAAACTTACTGGAGGGTCAGCTAGAAGTCAGTTCCAACTCAACCACAAGTAATGACTACAACAGCAACCTTGGAATTTTTCAGTGTATAGAGGCTGAAATTCTGACAGCCTTGGGTGTGGTAAGGGCTGCTATGTGTGCTGTATCTTGTTCATTCATGTTCATGACCATGATGCTGTACCTCGCTTCCCAGCTCTGCACTCTAGCATCACACTGGTAACTCAAAATTGGCCATGATCAGAGTATTTACACTGTGGGAATTGGTAACTTCCAGGAATTAATACTCAACAGATTAGTGGTTTTGAGGGGAAAAGGAGTAAAGCCAATTGTTAAGCATTTACCAACACACCGTAGGTTAAATGTGATGTTATTTGTCTCTAAAGGAACGCTCTTCATCCTAAAGCCTCCGTTTTCCCTGGTCACAAAAATAGTTAGACTAGGATTCACAATAAGCACCCATGGAAGCAGAAGTCAAGAAGTCAGTGTACTGCCTTGGGACTATCTGTTAAGTACTTCTTTAAATGGCTAAAAAAAACCCAGGGATGCCTATTTAAAGATCAAGGTGTGCCTGATCCAAGCCATGGTATCTTCAATGTTTTGGATTGTGGTGTTGGTAAGGAATATTGAATGCATCATAGACTACCAAAAGCACAAACAAATCTGTCTTGGAAGAATTCCTAGCCAGAATGTTCCTTGGGAGCCAGGATGGTGAGACTTTGTCTTACAAACTTTGGGCATGTTGTCAGGAGGGGGCCAGTCCTATGAAAAGTACATCATGCTTGGAAAAGTAGAGGTCAGGAAGAAAAGGAATCCACCTTCAGTGAGGTGGCTTGACACGGTAACTGCAGCAGTGGGGTTAAACACAATAGAGATTGTAAGGATGGTGCAGGACTATGCACGGTTTTGTTCCTAAATAGGGTCACTACGAGTTGGAGCCTACCCAGTAGCGCCTAACAACAACAACAAGGCGAGTCCTGTGAAGCTCAGTTTTCTCCCACTTCTTCCCAGGATCTTATTAGGGTCAAGGAAATGGGAGGGGAAGAGGACACTTGGCTCATGATTTCCATGCTGTCCCTCTCTGGGATATAACTCGACTCTCTAGTCCACACTACTGCTCTTAGCAGCACTTCCTATTGTCTCCTAATTGGGAATCCATCTGTGAATCCATTATGTCTTCTGATAGAATCATAGCTGAGAATAGGGTCTAGAGCTTCAGGTCCTTTTATCAGGAACCATACAACCTAATCGCTCTGCTTCTCCCTCTTCCACCTCTGCTGTACTTCATCTCTACTCCACCCTCCGACCCTGAGTGGGGCATATTTTCTCCAAATCTTTGAGTAAGATTGTTGTTCTAGGAAGATGTCCCATATTTTCCTAAGGTCTTTCTGTGCCCCCTTAGCCTATTGCCATTTCTTCCCAGGAGTCTGGGTGAATCCTTTTGAAAGAATAGCCTAAAAGGATAGTTTGATGAATGAAGATGGTAGCAAAGGGTGCTTGAAGTGTGGATTTGAAGTCCAGGGGGAATGGCAAGAAGGACTTAGGGATTAGAGAAACTGGTAAGGAAATCATATAAGATAAGCCTACACAAGTAAATTGTGGTTATTGTTGTTGTTGTGTGTTGGAACCAACCCATCACTGACCCTCCAGCAGTTTTTCATCCTTGTCCTACAGAGCAGCTGGTGGATTTGAACCACATGCCTTTGGGATTGCACTGCAGTGTCTTACCACTAGGTCACCGGTGCTCCCACACAAGTAGATAGGAGATAAAATATGGAAGACTAGATTGCATCTCAATGTCAAGAAAACAAAAATTCTCACCACTGGACTTCTAGCAATATCATGATAGATGAAGAAAAGATTGAACTTGCCAACAACTTCATCTTACTTGTATCCACAAGCAATACACTTGGTACCAGCAGTCAGAAGATCAGGAGACATACTGCGCTGGGAAAGCCTACAGTAAGGGACCAGTCCAAATTATCAAGGAGCACTGATGTCAGTTTGAGGACTAAAGTGGTCCTTATTTAGGCCATGGTCTTTTCAATCACTTGCTAGATTTTTGAGAACTGGACAGTAAATAAAGATGACAGAAGAACAATTAATGCCTTTGAAATGTGATGTTGGAGAAAGTACAGCATATCACATACACTGCCATAAGAACGAACAAGTAAATATGTCTTGGAGAAAGTGCAGCCAAAGTGCTCCTTGGAGACAAAGATGATAAATCCTAGTCTCATATACTTTGGCCATGTTGCTAGGAGAGGCTGTTCCTTGGAGAGGGACATCATGCTTGGAAAGGTGGAGTGGCAGCAAAAGAGAGAAAAACTCGACCAGGTGGATTGACACAGTCACTATGGCAATGGGATTGAGTGTGTCAGAAATTGTGAGGATGGCACAGGATGAGACAGGGATCAAATCTGTTCCTAGGCTTTCTATGAGTTATACTCGACTCGAGAGCACCTAATTCATGAGATAATTTTTTAAAGGTTTAGATTCATCCTGTAACATTTAAAAGATAAAGTATTTCAAAATTCAGAACAAGTTTCTAGCTGATGGGGGAGCTCTGATGGCATAGTCTGTAACGAGTTGCACTGCTAACCCAGGACTGTACACCTCCAGTGGTTCTAATCCAGCAGCAACTCTAAGGGGGCAAGTTTGACAGTGTTTCTCCAGCTTGCAGTTCACAGCCTCAGAAACCCAGTGGAAATGGCAGTGAGTTGGAGCTGACTGAGCAGCAGCAGTCAGTGAGTGAGGGAATGTCTGGTTAGTGTTTGGGGTTGTTGATACATGCATAGGATGATTTGGAAGAGAAATGGTCTGAGTACAATGATGAGACTTTGGAATGGGTCAGAGTTGGAATAGTTAGTTCATTCTCAGCTGTCACGGCATCAGGTAAAATAGCAAAGCCGAGAGGATGAAGGAAGCCAGTTGGGCTCAGCGAATGCTTTTCCTGATGGAGAGGAAAGGTCCATTTTGTACCTTCAACTCCAACAAATGTTAAATATATGAAGACATGTCACTAAATAAGCACTCTGAGATTATTCCAAGCTGTCTTGCACTAGAAGGAAAAAAGCCACAGGACACTATTTCTTCAGAAGGATTAAGACTTTAGTTTCTTAGTTACCAACATGATTGGTTGATTTAGTCATTGAGAGGACAGAAACATCAACCCAGCCAGAATCCTGCTGTAGAAATACAAGCTGTACAAGCAACAGTTAAACAAACAAACAAACAAAGGACGTTCTAGACATGTGGATGGAATTGTGAAACTTGGTTAAACTACCTTCTCAGGTAAAGGAAAAGTTCAAGTAAGTTCAAGGTAATATGGTGACATTAGTAAAGCTGATCACTGTCGCCCACATTCCCTTGTAAGTCTTTGTTCCCGGGCTCCCAATACCCTTCATGCTAACCTTTGTGCTAGCAAAAGAACCTTTGTGCTAGGTGCTCACATACTGCGCTCCCTGATTATATCTCAACTTATCCCAGTAGTCTGGGTATCGTTATTTACTGTTTGCTCACCTTTCACTCTGAAGTAACCTGATTCCAGGTCACCCAAGCACTGCCTTGATTCATTGACTCACTCATCTCCAAATGGATTTACAGGATGAATCCAAGGGAGAAGGCTCATTTTAAAATCATGTTGGAGATGATTTCCAAAATCAGTCCAAGAGAAGAGCAAGCTGAGAGAATGGCAGTGTCAAAAGGGCAGGATTCAAAAGGTCTTCAGTGTCCATCAGCCCGCCAGCTAATATTGCTGAGCTATGTTTCAACCCATAAAATGTGGACAACAGTCTCCCTTACCTAGAATATCATGATGCTTTAGTGTTCTGAAAGACAAGTGATGTGGACCAGGGCTTAGAAGCAAACAAGTTGTATACTAAAGTTTTAATGTGTTGTTATTCCCACATGCATTTGCATTTTAACCTTCCTTAAACTTCCCAAGTTCCCACTGCCATACAAAGTCTCTTCCATTGTGACATTCTAAGTAACAATGAATCGGAAAATGTGGCTCCTGCCACCTCAAGAGCTGTGTCCACATTAAAATCTAAAATGCTAAAAGGAAAATATGTACCTGAACTATCAAAAACCTCAAAAATGACCTAAAGGTGCTGTTTACACAGTTGAGGACAACACTAGAATTGCTTCTGTGAAAATGTAGCAAGAGAAAGGCCCCAAATAGGGATTCTCAATTTTGATTGACAGAATTCTTCCAAATGGTAATCTCTTATTTCTTGTACTTTCAGGTGTTTCATATGTGCACAGTGAATAGATCGTTTCTTATCCTTTTGAATGTGATCCTCATTTCCAGACTCCTTGGGGCTAGATGGTTTCCTAAAACTCTCCCCTGTGATGTCAAGGTGGACGTGTCCCAGGATCAGGTGATCGTGGACTGCACAGACAAGCACCTTACAGAGATCCCCAGAGGTATTCCCAGCAATGCCACCAACCTCACTCTCACCATCAATCACATCCCAACCATCTCCCCAGCCTCCTTCTACCAGCTGGAACATCTCATTGAAATTGACTTCCGATGCAACTGTGTACCTATTCGACTGGGGCCCAAAGACCGCATTTGCACCAAGAGACTGCAAGTTACACCCCACAGTTTCAGTGGACTAACGTCTTTAAGAGCGCTTTACCTAGATGGAAACCAGCTTCTAGAGATCCCTCAGGGTTTGCCTTCCAGTTTAAAGCTGCTAAGTCTTGAAGCCAACACCATCTCTTCCATCACGAAAGAAAACGTAACAGAACTGGCCAGCATAGAAATGCTGTACCTGGGCCAAAACTGTTATTTTCGCAACCCGTGTAACGTTTCCTTCTCAATAGAAAAAGATGCCTTCCTGAACCTGAAGAATTTGAAAGTGCTGTCACTGAAAGATAACAACATCACTGCAGTCCCCACTGTTTTGCCATCTTCTTTAATGGAGCTCTATCTTTACAACAACATGATCACTAAAATCCAAGAAGGTGATTTTAATAACCTCAACCAGCTGCAACTTCTGGACCTCAGTGGAAATTGCCCCCGTTGTTACAGTGTGCCATACCCTTGCATACCCTGTGAAAATAATGCTCCCCTACAGATCCAGGAAAATGCTTTTGATGCATTACAAGAATTAAGAATTTTACGTCTACATAGTAACTCACTTCAGTTTGTGCCTGAAAGATTGTTTCAAAACCTGGGCAAACTCGAGGAGCTAGACCTTTCCCAAAACTACCTAGCCAAAACAATTTCTGACGCCAGATTTTTGTATTCTCTTCCCAACCTCATCCAGTTGGATCTGTCTTTCAATTATGAGCTCCAGGTCTATCATGCATTTATGAATCTCTCAAATGCATTTTCCTCACTAAAAAATCTGAGACTTTTGCGGATGAAAGGCTACGTCTTTAAAGAGTTGACAAGTCCTGACCTCTCCCCTTTACAGAGTCTTCAAAATCTTGAAGTTCTTGATCTTGGCACTAACTTCATCAAAATTGTGGACATCAATATATTTAAACAGTTCGAGAGGTTGAAAGTCATAGATCTTTCCGTGAATAAAATATCACCTTCAGGAGACTCAAGTAATGTTGGCTTCTGCTCTAACACCAGGACTTTGGTGGACAGCTATGGACCCCAGGTCCTTGAACACGAGTACTATTTCAAATATGATGAGAATGCCAGGAGTTGTAGGTTCAAAAACAGGGAGATGCCTTCTTTTTTGTCCTTTAATGAAGAATGCAATAAGTATAGGCCTACCTTGGATTTAAGCAAAAATAATATCTTTTTTATCAAGTCCACAGATTATAAAAACCTTTCCTTTCTTCAGTGCTTAAATTTATCTGGAAACTCAATTAGCCAAACATTGAATGGCAGTGAATTCCAGCATTTAGTGGAGTTGAAATATTTGGACTTTTCAAACAACCGTGTCGATTTACTCCACTCTACCGCATTTAATGAGCTGCACAATCTAGAAGTTCTGGATATAAGTAATAATGGCCATTATTTTGAATCCGAAGGACTTACTCATATGCTTAACTTCACAAAGAACCTAAAACTCCTGACCAAACTGATGATGAACTACAATGGCATCTCTACCTCCGCCAGCAGGACCATGGAGAGCGACTCTCTTAAGACTCTGGAATTCAGAGGAAACCACTTGGATGTCATGTGGAGAGATGGCGACACTAGATACTTGGAATTCTTCAAGCATCTGATAAACTTAGAAGCATTAGACATCTCTGAAAATTCCCTGAGTTTCTTGCCTCCCGGAGTTTTTGATGGTATGCCCCCAAATCTAAAGAACCTCTCATTGGCCCAGAATGGACTCAAGTCCTTCAACTGGAAAAAACTCCAGGTTCTGAAAAATCTGGAAACTTTGGACCTCAGCAGAAACCAGCTGAAGACTGTCCCTGACAGATTAGCCAACTGTTCCAGCAGCCTCAAGAGACTGATTCTTAGGAAGAATCAAATCAGGTGTCTGACCAAGTATTTCCTGCAGGATGCTTTCCATTTGCAATATCTGGACCTCAGCTCAAATAAAATCCAGATTATCCAAAAGACCAGCTTTCCAGAAAATGTCCTCAACAATCTGGAGATGTTGCTTTTGCACCATAATCGCTTTCTGTGCACTTGTGATGCTGTGTGGTTTGTCTGGTGGGTTAATCACACCGAGGTCACGATTCCTTACCTGGCCACTGAGGTGACTTGTGTGGGGCCAGGAGCACACAGAGGCCAGAGTGTGGTCTCCCTGGATCTCTATACCTGCGAGTTGGACCTGACTAACCTGATTCTGTATTCCTTTTCCGTTTCTGTGGCTATCTTTCTGATGGTGGTTACAACAGTAAGTCACCTCTATTTCTGGGATGTGTGGTATAGTTACTATTTCTGCAAGGCCAAGTTAAGGGGATATCAGCGTCTGCTGTCACTAGATTCTTGTTACGATGCTTTCATTGTGTATGACACTAAAGATCCAGCTGTGACGGAATGGGTTTTGCATGAGCTGGTGGTTCAGTTGGAAGACCCAAGAGAGAAACGTTTTAATTTGTGTCTTGAGGAAAGGGATTGGTTACCAGGGCAGCCAGTTCTGGAAAACCTTTCCCAGAGCATACAGTTAAGCAAAAAGACCGTGTTTGTGATGACAAACAGATATGCAAAGACTCAGAACTTCAAGATAGCATTTTACCTTTCCCATCAGAGGCTTATAGAGGAAAAAGTAGATGTGATTATCTTGATATTCCTCCAGAAACCTCTTCAGAAATCCAAATTCCTCCAGCTCCGGAAGAGGCTCTGTAGGAGTTCTGTTCTTGAGTGGCCCACAAACCCACAGGCTCATCCGTACTTCTGGCAGTGTCTGAAAAATGCTTTGGCCATGGACAATCACGTGGCCTATAGTAAAGTGTTCAAAGAGACAGCCTAGGCCTTCTTTGTAAAATGTGGCTACCTAAGTGGTCAAGGAAACATTTGGTTGCCTAGATTCTCTCAGCATTTTCTCACCAAGACAGTTTTGAGATTTTTCTAAGAGATGGTATTGCCAAGTATCAGAGGAAAGCGACCAGTTAGACAAAGAGGTTGAGAAAAGAGGCTTTATATAGCTTGGAGTCTTCCTCCTCTTTCTGTGTGTCTACTTGCACTTGAGCATCTCTCCTCAGCTCACACAGAAAATACAATTAGGAGGACACAGGCTCTGATGGTCCTGGAAATGTGGTTCATGAATAGACACACAATCATGAAATTGAGAGGAACTCTGCTGGGGCTATGTCTGTACTTCATCAAAAAGTACCAGAGTTGGTTGAGTGACTTAAAAATCCAGTAACATGCTCACCCCTCAGCCAGCCACATTATCTAGTGACTCCAGTGTTGGCATAGGCAGATGGTTACTTCTTTGGTACTGCTCACTCTGTTTCCTGAGGTCTCCTGCTGGATTCCGAGGAGGGAGTGAGAGATGCCGTTACTACCACAAGACAGGATACACCTACGAATGAATAAAAGTGAAAATGATCTGCATACCTATAAAGTGATGCTCCTTACTTTTGGTCATAACTTACCTACTCACATGTTCTTATCTACACTGCAAAGTACTGTATACACCATAATGGTAAGTCTTCACTAATACATTTGTCATTACCTGAGATCTTCTTTTTAATCTGAGATCATGACCCACCAACATTAAACAGTTTTGATTGTTAACCCTCAAGGTAGATGCCATGAGTATTTGTTTATTCGGAGTTATCAGCAAGCGTTAATAGTTGGATTCCTTTCTGTTTGGAATTGGGGGATGGGTGCCAGACAAACAGAGGTTTACAGACCTCAATACTAATGATGTTTCAGCTTGAATACTTAGACAACAAAAAGAACCAGCACGTTCTTGAGGCACGTAGACTTCCATTTGCAAATGAAATCTCCAGGAGTACAAAGTTTGGAAACCAACAGATCTTCTTTATTCCATGGGAGGAATGAATCAAGGAGATGTTTATACCATTTGAAAAATCATGTGCCTGGCTTCCGGTCTTGGAGACCTTGTGTTTTTATCATATATGGAAATACACTTAAATATGTTTTTAAATACACAGTCTATGAATTCTTCCCAAAGATTATCTAATTAATGAGTCAAAGTTTCCCAAACAAATCTCTGAAGTGAGCAATTGTTGTTGTGTTGAGTGTGTAGAGTTGACTACAACTTAGTAGCAACCCTTTGAACAATGGATCTGACACTTACCCTATCCTGCACCATCCTTGCCATCGCTGAGATACTTGAGCTCATTGTTACAGTCACTGTGTCAGTCCACCTCATTGAGGTTCTTCATACCTTTTGCCGATCCCCCAGCATGATGTCATTTTCCAAGGACTAGCCCCTTCCAGTAACATGCCTGAAGCCTAAAGCCTCGCCTCCAGTGAGCACCCTGGTTGTACTTACTCTAAGATGTATTTGTTTTTTCTTTTGGCAGTCTGTGAGGTGTTCGGTTCTCCTCTCCAACATTATAACTCAAAGGGTTACAAGTGTGAACTCTTATTATACAGTTTCTGTAAGCTTGATTGTACATAATGGATACGTTTCTCTATTTGGGAAAAATGACAGTGACATCACAAACATTTGACTTTGACTTATCATAAGTTTTCTTCACTTTAAGCTCATAAATGCCCAAATAATACTAAGTTGTTTGGGCACTTAATAAACCATAAAGCAGCTAGAGACAACACAAACATCTTCTGAAACGGGTCAGGAGGAACGAGAACTGAAAATATGCTTTGAAACCACAGCATATTTCAACATGAGGTTAAGTCCAGTGGTTTGTTATAGGAAAATAACCAAAAGCACCTCAACAGATGGCTTTCGTTTTAATTCCTTTGGCAACCATGACGGGTCACTCTTTGAATTCCGATGAGCTTTCTGTGGGGCTCATAGACAGCTCAGATCCAAAGCCCCCAGTTTGGGCTAGCAGGAGACCGTGACTGCCAAGACTCCCACAAAGCTCTCATTGTGTACTGCTCCTTTGCTGACCCCCTAGGTCTTGTTTGTTCTACTCCTTGAGGGGCTCCCAGATTCTGTATAAATTCCATTCCACCATCAAGGCATGGCCTGCAGTGCTTTCCACCCCCCACACCCATCTGGACCTCAACTTAGAGAAAGTTTCAGTCTTGATTTTCAGCTGTAATACTCAGTAACAACAGAAAGAACCAGGACATTCTTGAGATACACATGCTTCCAATTGGGTCTAAATCTCTGTGAGTTTAAAAGTTGGAACTCATCCAGTTCCCTTCATTTCATGAAAGGAATGTTATGGACTGGATTGAGGGTATGTCCTTCCTCCTCAGCTGGATGGATACTACATTTCAGGGAGACTTGGTCATTTGGGGGATCCAAGTAGAGGGGAAATTAGGAAGGACAAGTGTAATGACTGAGAAAAAGGGAAGAAAATGTCTTTGATTTGGAGACAAGAAAGAGAGTGTTTCTACCAAAATTCCATTTCTGAGCCAGATTCTCTTAGCTCCATCCTCCTGTCTACCAGCAGCTCAATCTGTTGGGTTACTCCTTCAGGTAAGGCTAGTGTCTTAAATGCAGTCAGAGATACAGCAGGGGGTGGAGGATGAGTTGAGAGCATGACCATCTTGTTCTTTGGTCTTCACAGAAGTTGTGGGAATAACAAGGACACACATTCTTCTTTGCTGTGCTGTTGTTTGGTGCCTTACATCATCTCTGGTACACTTGACCCCGTTGCTCCCATTGTGTCAATCCCTCATGTTGAGGGTTTCTCTGTTTCTCTGACCATCCACCTTTGCCAGCATTATGCCATTTTTCGAGAACTTACCCCTCCTGAAAACATGCCCAGACTATTTGAAGCAAATTTTCCCCATCCCTGTCTCCGAGGCAAACACTGGTCATCCTTTGCCAAGATAGTCCTGTTTGTTGTTTTGACATTCCCTGAGATATTTAGTACTCTCCTCGAGCACTATAGCTCAAAGGCATCAGTTTGATGCTGTGCAATCTTTTTTCCTCAACCAACATATTTTGGTTTTCTTCTTCCACCTCATCCTTGCCCAGGATGAATGAGAGGATCGCTTTGTACATAGTACCAGCTATTTATGGCCCCCTTTTGAAATGAGGGTGGGTATGTGGTTCCGTTTATGCTGTGCTCTTCTGTGTGTGCTGAGGTGAGCAGGGAACACTGGTTCTGGGAAGACTCTTGGACGTACCGTGAGAGTGTGCCCCTCCCTGAGGCTTTGAAGGCCTAGAGCCCGGGATCAGTTAGTTTTGGGATACTCATGTTGCATTTGTTCACAACCTGAGCCCTTCACTCTAAGGAACCCTGGAAACTATCTTCTGAAATACAGATGACAGCAGAGAGCATGGGAGGGGAAACAACCCAAGGGCATGACTCAAGGGAAGAGGACTCTAGAAAGCACCACGATAGGAAATCAATCCATTTGACTGAGTGATGCCACAAAGGACCATGATGCCAACCAAGAGACCAATGTGGGGTGAAAGAACAGGTAGAAGAGAATGACCCAAGTCTAGAATGATATTGGGGGGGTGGCCCTAGGGGCCAATGGGTCTGTTTCATGTCATTTCCCTCCCTGCTTGCTTGCTTTGCTTCCTCATCTCTCCTGGTTTTCTTTTTGGCTCTGACACCACACCAAGCCTGTGTACCATGTGAGCATTAAAGCAAGCAGCCGTTGCTGCAGGTGGTTCCTTCTAGTTGGATGGGGTGGCGTGGTGAGGACTTTTGGTTTCAAGCAGAGCCTTGTCCCTCAGCTGGCGTAGTAACCTCCTGCCTGTTTCAGGGAACATGGCCTTCTAGAAGCAGTCCCACGACACCTTTCCTGATTGACACCATAGTACTCTCTACCACATTCCAAGTCATTTCCTTTCTACTCATTTCAACTAAGGAAGCCTAGGAGTTAAGATACTGGACTTACAGCGAGGCAGGTGAGCAGACGCAAAGATGCAGATCTTTGTGAAGACCCTGACTGGCAAGACCATCACTCTTGAGGTCGAGCCCAGTGACACCATCGAGAATGTCAAAGCCAAAATCCAAGACAAGGAGGGCATCCCTCCTGACCAGCAGCGTCTGATATTTGCGGGCAAACAACTAGAGGATGGCCGTACACTTTCAGACTACAACATCCAGAAAGAGTGCACCCTGCATCTGGTGCTGTGTCTCCGTGGTGGCATTATTGAGCCTTCCTTGCGTCAGCTCGCCCAGAAATACAACTGCAACAAGATGATCTGCCGCAAGTGTTATGCTCGCCTGCATCCCCGTGCTGTCAATTGCTGCAAGAAGAAGTGTGGGCACACCAACAACCTGCGCCCCAAGAAGAAGGTCAGATAAGAGCCCTCTCTTCACTGGCTCCCTTGCCTCTTGCAGGTGGCCTTCTTCTGAGCCCCATGACCCTGGGCCCTCAATAAAGTCTCTTTCATTGAACTGGAAAAAAAAAAAGATACTGGGCTTGTCTTGAGTGTTCTTTCTTTAAGACTCCCCTAATCTCAGGTTGGAAGCAGGAGTGGCATCCACTTCCTCAACAACATACCTCTGTAAACTGTATCAACTTTGAGAAATGATGATAGTTATAGAAAGGCTTCAGGTCTTCTATTCATAAGGTCACTATGATTTGTGCTCAACTCAGTGGCAAGCAACAACAACAATTTCAGGTTGCAGTTGATTTCTAACATGCTTATAACATCATCTCAGCGATTTCATTTTTTCTAGTATTTATCCTTTCTCACTTTTAATGGTATGGTATTTATTAATATAATTAGCAAGACAGATTGACACAGTGACTGTACCAATGGGTGAAAGTATATCGAGGATGAAGAAGGTGGCACAGGTGACAGCAGGGTTTAGATTTGTTGCTCATAGGGTCGCTGTAAGTTGTAATCAACTTGATGGCACCTAACAACAACAGTGATCAAATATTTCT